TGTCCAGATGACCTGACTGAAAATTGTTGGATTGTATACCTGGATTATTGAGCATGGACTTTTTTTGGTTTTGAACCAGTTTGACATGACTGTCGACGAGGAAGAGGGCCGGCAACAGAGGAGAGGGCGTGCCAAAGACACCATCTTAGCATCAACATAACTGGTTTGTTCCACTTTGGAGTAAGCTGTTGGGGGAAGAATCAGTTTTGTGTTGTGTGTTTCCTTGACTGATGAAGCCTTCTGGATGGAAGGTGAAACGTTTCAGCAAAAAAAAGAAACTGTCCAGATGACCTGACTGAAAAATGTTGAATAATAGACAATCATAAAAAAGATACATATTGAGAAGAAGAAATAAAAGAAAAGTATATTTAAAAAATGAAATAAAAATGGCTAGGTTGTAAGGTGGTGTAGGAAACTAAAAACAGGAACATGTCTGCGTTGGTTTTTGCCAGGAACTTAACAAATGTTTAAAGCCACTTAAAGAGGTCAAGGTCGAGAGCTTCAGATCTTTTTGCAAGATATTCCAGGAAACAGGAACGACAGCATCCAACATCTGCAGGGTGCTTGTAGGAGCATTCATGTAAATAATGTCACCGTAGTCAATGAAGGGAATGAAAGTTGTAGTTACTAGAAGTTTCCTAGCATTCAGAGTTAGACAGGATCTGTTTATGAAGATTTCTGTAAACCTCAAAGTATTAGAGTTGGAAATATTGGCTTCTCGGTAAATGTAGCAAAAATTAGTGCTAAATTTATTCTTTGAGCTGTCATGGTTCAAAGGGCATATGTTTTTGACTGACTTCAATTTCACATGTTCTGTCTTTGATGATTCCAGCTGGGTTGCGATGTGTCGTGGAGGAGCTTGAGCTAGAAAGAAACCATCTGCAGGAGCAGATATTGAGCCTGGAGGAGCGATGCAAAGATCTGGAGGACCGACTCCAGTTACAGGCCCGGATAGAAACGTTACAGGTAAAGTCATTATGCACAATACCAGGAACCACTCTTTTTTTATACCTCTAGAGTTCACTCTCCCTACTGGACATCTTAAGAGTGAAGATAAAACCTTACAGGCTGAACGATACGTGAATTGCATGTTTTCCCACACACCCTTTTAATGCAGGTGACATTTGATGTACAGGTCCTTCTCAAAAAATTAGCATATTGTGATAAAGGTCATTATTTTCCATAATGTAATGATAAAAATGAAACTTTCATATATTTCAGATTCATTGCAAATCAACTGAAATATTTCAGGTCTTTAATTGTTTTAATACTGATGATTATGGCGTACAGCTCATGAAAACCCAAAATGCCTGTCCCAAAAAATTAGCATATTTCATCCCACCAATGAAAGACAAGTGTTTTTAATACAAAAAACACCAACCTTCAAATAATCATGTTCAGTTATGTACTCAATACTTGGTCGGGAATCCTTTTGCATGAATGACTGCTTCAATGCGGCGTGGCACGGAGGCAATCAGCCTGTGGCACTGCTGAGTTGTTATGGAGGCCCAGGATGTTTCGATAGCGGCCTTAAGCTCATCCAGAGTGTTGGGTCTTGCGTCTCTCAACTTTCTCTTCACAATATCCCACAGGTTCTCTATGGGGTTCAGGTCAGGAGAGTTGGCAGGCCAATTGAGCACAGTAATACCATGGTCAGTAAACCATTTACCAGTGGTTTTGACACTGTGAGCAGGTGCCAGGTCGTGCTGAAAAATGAAATCTTCATCTCCATAAAGCTTTTCAGCAGATGG